TATAAATAGCCTTTGTGAAAAAAAACTGTGGGCAAAAATAGTTTCAAAGAAACTGAGAAAACGCTAATTGAGTACAACCTGAGGTGGAATCTACTAAGATGTGTTACAAATATATGTAGATCAGAAAAATAATTAGACAACTTTACAGAACTTATGAAAACGTAAAGTGTTTAAAGCCTATGGTTCATTTTATTAGTCATTAGCAGGTGCTTTGCAGAAAATATTTGAACCATTATGTGTATTTTTTAAAAATAGCTTTATTGAAATAACATTCACAAACCAAGCAATTGACCCATTTAAAGTGTATGATTCAGCCAGACACAATGGATCATGCCTGTAATCCAAGCATTTGGAAGGCCAAGGCAGGAAGGTCACTTGAAGCCAGGAGTTTGAAATCAGCCTAGACAATATAGTGAGACCCCATCTCTACAAAAAATTAAAAAATCAGCTGGGCATAGTGGCACACACCTGTAGTCCCAGCTATTAGGGAAACCAAGATGGGAGGATCGCTTGAGCCCAGGAGGTCAAGGCTGAAGTGAGACAAGATTGCACCACTACAGTCCAGCCTGAGTGACAGATCAAGACCCTATCTCAAAAGCAAAAACAAAGGTGTACAATTCAGCCAAGTATGGTGGCTCATACCTGTAATCCTAATGCTTTGGAAGGACAAAGCAGAACATCACTTGAGGCCAGGAGTTCAAGACCAGCCTGGGCAACATATTGAGACCCTGTCTCTACAAAACAAACAAACAAAAAAAAAAAAAAACTAAAAATTAGCCAGGTGTCATGGTGCATGGCTGTAGTCCCAGCTACTCTGGAGGCTGAGGCAAGAAGATCCCTTGAGCCCAGGAGTTCAAGACTGCAGTGACTTAGGATCATGCCGCTGCACTTCAGCCTGGGTGAGAGAGCAAGACCCTGTCTGAAATAAAATAAAATATACAATTAAATGTGGAGGTTATTTTTGTATACCCACAGTATTTTGCAACCATTACCACAATTCCATTTTTAAAACATTTTTCCCTCTAAAAGAAACCTTCTACCAATTTCCTCTCCCCAACCTACTCCTCACCCCTAAGAAATCATTTATCTACTTTCTGCCTCAATAAATTTGACTACCCTTCTTCTTCAAGATTGTTTTGGCCATTCTAAATCTCTTACATTTCCATACAAATTTTAAGATCACCTCGGCAATTTCTGAAAATATCATATATTATTGAACCATTGTCAACAGTGAACATTCGTTCTTGTGGACTTGGCTATCATCAGTTCCATGAATTTTTTCATGCAACTTCAAATAGAAGTTGAATATTCTGACTTGCCGTATTATTACCCAGCATTTTGACAGCTTAGCAGTGGCAAAGTTTTACTGCAAATATTTGCACTGGGGCCAAGACTGAATTTTTTGTGAATGAAACTGTTATTCCATACATCTATGGAGCACTGAATGGCTTTTGAAATAAGCTTTTGCTGTAAACTTAATAATGTTTCTTAACTGAATTGATTCAGAAATTATAAGACAAAATTATATACAAGACAAGCACTTATAGCAAAACTTAAACTGAAGTAAAGTCATTTTAACAACAACTAATTTATGATGCATAAGTCAAACTGCTTTATATACTTCCCCTGTTGTCAAAAGTTAAAATGTGATACCTTCATCCCCACTCATATTTGCAATAGATATATTTTCAAGTTCAAATTACAGTTCCAGCACTGACTTTCAGATCTCAATGCAAATGCAAGATAAATTTCTTTTTTTTTTTTTTTTTTTTTGAGACACAGTCTTGTGCTGTGACCCAGGCTGGAGTGCAGTGGCCGGATCTCAGCTCACTGCAAGCTCTACCTCCCGGGTTTGCACCATTCTCCTGCCTCAGCCTCCCGAGTAGCTGGGACTACAGGTGCCTGCCACCTCGCCTGGCTATTTTTTTGTATTTTTTAGTAGAGACGGGGTTTCACTGTGTTAGCCAGGATGGTCTCGATCTCCTGACCTCGTGATCCACCCATCTCAGCCTCCCAAAGTGCTGGGATTACAGGCTTGAGCCACCGCGCCCGGCCGCAAGATAAATTTCTATATTTCAAAATCCATTTTATTGTGCAATTTGAGGTGCTTCCACCTAACCTTTAATTGGGAATAATTAGTTTTCAAGTATGACATGCTAAAAGGCAAATATCAAGAGAAGAATCTAATAAAATTCTAGGAAAGTCTTCTAAGAAATTAATATGCTCCACTAAAATTGTAAGCTCATTTTGGGATGTATGGAGTTTTTTGGTGATGGTTACGCAATATGATAAACATACTAAAAATCATTGTACACTTTAAATGGATGTACACACTTTCAAATGATTAAACAGTGAATTTATATGTTGTGTAAATTTTATCTCAATTAAGAAAATTATAAATTCATGGATTAATATCAATATATGCCAGTACCTATCAATGTGAAAGACATTTTCAAAGAGGAGATATGTAAAATCTCATTACAGGTCAGATGGGCATTTGCAACTGATTTTGATGATAGGGAACACTAACTCTGAACCCCAATTAAACAAGATGGTTTTTGTTAATTCCATTCTTTTCACTAGAAAACTTGGCTTACAAAAAGTTGTAGTCAGTTATTAGATTTTGAATTTTGTGAAAATTTGTCTTCTCTCTTGCTATGTAAATACCTGTATAATATCCTACATTTGGCCTATTGGCTTGCAGTGCCTAAAATATTTACTGTCTATCCCTTTGCAGAAAAAATTTGTCAACCCTGTTCTCACAAATAGACTTATGTATTTACTAGGAGGACAGTTTGTATCTATGGAATGCTGTTAACAGTATATCCTTGGTTATGGATTGCTTATTGCAAACATACCTAGAATCTGGATTTATAACCCCAGGGAATATCACGCAAGCTACACAGCTCTGAAATATAAAATGGAGATATATCACAACTTAAACATTCTCCACTGTGTGAGGTAACCCTTTAAATTAATTTAGAGGCCTCACCTATTGTTCTGGACCACAGAGTGCATGATGTGAGAAGGAAGGAGCCCTAGGAAGCCAGCAGGGCTTCCCTGGATCTCTTCCTACTTTGCCTATGCCTCTTGATTGCTTTTTATCTTGCTTTTGTGGGTTCTTTTGTTTTTTTCTTTTTTGGAGACAGACTCCCTCTGTCTCCTGAGCTGGCGTGCAGTGGCATGATCTCAGCTCACTAAAATCTCCGACTCCCAGGTTCAAGCAATTCTCATGCCTCAGCCTCCAGAGTAGCTGGAACTAAAAGCGTGAGCCACCAAGTCCTGCTAATTTTTTGTATTTTAGTAGAGATGGGGTTTCACCATGTTGCCTAGGTTGGTCTTGAATTTCTGAGCTCAGGCAATCTGCCCGCCTGGGACTCCCAAAGTGCTAGGGTTACAGGTGTGAGCCACTGCACGTGGCTTGATTGCTTCTATCTTTGAAATTATTAGTTAAGATTGATACTAGGCAAGCTGTCTGGTATTTGTGAGTCAGATTTGACAGTACAGTCCTGTGTTATCTCAAGCACTATTCAAGTGTTTGAAAGGCTAAAGTAAGTTTTTTCTTGTTTTTTGTTTGTTTGTTTTTGTTTTTTGTTTTGTTTCGTTTTTGAGACGTAGTCTCGCTCTGTCGCCCAGGCTGGAGTGCAGTGGCGCGATCTCCGCTCACTGCAAGCTCTGCCTCCCGGGTTCACGCCATTCTCCTGCCTCAGCCTCCCAGGTAGCTGGGACTACAGGCGCCAGCCACCGTGCCCGGCTAATTTTTTGTATTTTTAGTAGAGATGGGGTTTCACCATGTTAGCCAGGAAGGTCTCGATCTCCTCACTTCGTGATCCGCCCGCCTCAGCCTCCCAAAGTGCTGGGATTACAGGCGTGAGCCACCGCGCCCAGCCAGGCTAATGTAACTTTCCAAAGAAGAGTTGCAACAAGCATTTTTGGCAAGACCATCCAAATATTTTATGCTTAGAGTAGATCATAATGACTTTCACTTAAAATAGGCAAAGAATTATGTTTTCTAAAATAGTGACTTAGTGTAATTTGGTAAGGAGCATATGTTACTTTCTGTTCAACAGTAAACATATTTCTTGAAGATATCTAAGCTCAGTCCTTTCTATAAAGTTTTATTATTTATAATTAAATACTTTTTCATGAAAACAAACCAATATACGCAAGTAGTAAGGATGCTAAGACCTAACATGCTGCATCATTTGTAAATAGCAAAAGTTAAATTTCATCATTTAACATCATTCACCACACCCAGCAACTTTTTTGTATTTTTTGTAGTGATAGGGTTTTGTCATGTTTCCCAGGCTGGTCTTGAACTCCTGGGATCAAGCAATCCTCCCACCTCGGGCCTACCAAAGTGCTGGGATTACAGGTGTGAGCTGCCACACCCAGCCTACTTTGTCAGATTTTGATAAATGATTATTGCTTAAAATCTTTATGAAAGTACTATTGCCCTTGAGATTTTTTCCCCCATTTTTTTATGGCACAATTCTTCAGTTTGCACCAAGGAAAATCTTGCGTTTCAAGACTTAAGAACTTTTAGGGAAAAAAAAACCTTTTAAGAAATTCTTACTGATTTCCCTGGAATATTTTAGTCTTTGGTTCTTGTGATATCTATTATTAACGTCTTTTTCCTAAAGATATATAAGGTCAGTCCTCTGAGATACTGGTATTATAACTTTGTAATGTTTCTAGTTTTTTAGACTCCTCATAATATAACTTTGACAAGAAAAAAACTTATAAATATGAAACAGTGTTACAATGTTTGATTTTGTAAATGACACCTCACTGCATATCACATCATGAAAATACGAAAATCTTTGTGATGATGATGAAATTGGAAGACTTTTGCTTCAAATGAAAATGTGTATGAAATTCATCAGTGGAAGAAAGAATAGGAAACATTAATAAAAGTGGTTTATCTGAGTGGCTAGTACCATTATGAAACATACAGTTGTGAATATGTTATGTGTCATGTTTTTGTTTTTGTTTTTAAGGGAAAGCATTAACTTTTGAGCTACGTCCAGAATAGCATCATCTTCATGGGTATTCCCTACTCCTAGGATTTCAGAAAACCTTTGATAACTAATTGAGAAAATGCAGAAGATCTTGCAGACAGATGAAATTACCGATACACAAGCTGTTAGAAAAGGAAAGAGGAAAAGGACAGAGACAATGGACTCAGAAAATGCAAATAGTGACATGGATAAAGGACAGGTTGGTTTTTGTTACCTTGATTCAACTTTATTATCTAGCTCAATCATAATTTCATGATTTCTTTCATAATTTATTAGTGCTTCGCCCTCTTATTTCATTCTTTTCATTTCTTTGTTCAATGGAGAAAATATAATCTTATGTTCTTCTTCTTTTTAAAAATGTTTTGTAGAGAGAGGGTCTTCCTGTGTTGCCCAGGCTGGTTTCAAATTCCTAGGCTTAAGTGATCCTCCCACCTCGGCCTCTCTAAGTGCTGGGATTACAGGTGTAAGCCCCTGCATCATCTTATGTTCTCTTTTTAATGTTGAACAGTTGAGTTAGAAATATACTCAACAATTTACCTGCTTCTGTTTTTCAAACTTTCCTTAATAGTCTGAGAAAGTAAAAGATCAGCAAAAAGTCAAAAAATATTTTTTCCTCCCCCCAAATACTGAAGAAGTTGGAATGCCTCATCTTTAAGACATACTGTTTGCTTTTCTTTCTAGACCCCAGTTTGTGGCCCGTCTTTATCACTGGTTTGGTCAGGGCGCCTCTCCTATCTTTATTTATTGATTTGTGCCTTTTAAATATGAATTCCCCACTCCCATTCCCCACCTATACTTTGGACAACCAATCAATATATTTATTTCTGTATCTTTTTATTTGTGTGTTTTTGTAATACGTATATTTGTGTATGTCTCTGTAATGTAGTGTTTTATTTCATATATTCTTATTTAAATAAATATTACATTCTTATGGTTTACAATATTTTTTAGAGGTTAACAGTGAAAAGTCTCCCTCACATCCCTGTCTCCCACTTATCCTGTTCCTGCTGCCAGCCTCCCAACAAAAGTAATTATATTTATTGCTTTCTTGTTTGCCTTTCCAGTGTTTCTTCATTCAAATAAATCAAATGTGAATATACATTCTTATCCCTGTCTTTGGCACAAAACTAACCATATATATTGTTTTACACTTTTCTTTTTTACTTAATATATTTTGAAGATATTTCAATTATTATACAGAGAGCTTTGTATTTTTTACAGCTCCATGTTATTGCACTGTGTGTATTCACCATCTTTTATTTAACTGATTCCCTATGATAAATATCAGTTGTTTCCAATCCTTTTCTCATTATTTAACACAAACCACACAACCCTGTGCCACCTTATGTGTACATCATTTGGTAGTACAGTAGTATTAAAATATAGACCTTAATCTGTTTCTGATTTTCAATCAGCACTGTTTTTTAAAAAATAAATTTTATCGTGCGTATTTCAGGTATACAACATCACATTATAGGAAACATATAGATAGTAAGAAGGTTACTATAGTGAAGCAAATTAACATATCCATCACTCACAGTTACCCATTTTTAAAATTTTTGTGACAAGAGCAGATAAAATCTACACACGTAGCATGAATCCCAAACACAATACAATTTTATTACCTATGGTCCTTGTGTGGTACATTAGATCTCTAAACTTGTTTGTTCTATGTATCTGCTACTTCGTATCCTCTGACTTACATCTCCTCATTTTCTCTCCTCTAAGCCCCATCTGCCCTGGTAATGACTGTTTTGTTCTCTATCTCTGTATATTTGAAAGCTTTTTTAAGATTCCATATATAAGTGAGATCATGCAATAATTTTATTTCTGTGTCTGGTTTACTTCACCTAACATAACATCCTCCAGGCTCATCTACATTGTGGCAAATAGCAAGATATTGTTCTTTTTTAGGGCTCAATGATATTCCGTTTATAAATATATTAATTCTACAGTTTCTTTATCCATTCATTCATTGATGGACACTTTGCTTGTTTCCACACAATTAGCACTGTTTTTAATACCTATCTATATTGCTATGCATACATCTGATCCATTGCTTCTAGCTGCTGCATAGCACCGTATTTTATTTATTCTTTCCTCAGTGATGAATACCTAGATTGCCTCCAGCATCTTGCTACCACAAACAATGACAAAGTAAATATCCTTACACATGTCCTTTTAAGAAACTTTGTGAGGCCGGATGCAGTGGCTCATGCCTATAATCCCAGCACTTTGGAAGACTGAGGCAGGAGGATCACTTGAGCCCAGGAGTTTGTGACCAGCCTGGGCAACACAGGGAGAGACCCTGGCTCTACCAAAAAATGTTTTAAATTAATCGGGTGCAATTGCTCACACCTACAGTCCCAGCTACTTAGGAGGCTGAGGTGGGAGGATCGCTTGAGTCTAGGAGTTTGAGGCTGCAGTGAGCTGTGTTCCCATCACTGCACTTCGGGCTGGGTGACAGAGCCAGACCTTGTCTCAAAAAAAAGAAAAGCAAAAAGAAAAAAAAAAAACTGTGTGACAATTTATCTGGGATAAATACATAGGAGGGTGATTTATACCTTATAAGTTATATGTTTATTTCTAGTTCATTTGACTGGATATTATAAAATTACTTTTCAAGAATGTTCACATCAGTGTACGTGCCCAGCATCAGTGTTTAAGAGGTTCCTATATTTGTATTTCCCTACAACCATTAGTGTTAATATTCAATTTTCTAGTTTTTGCCAAATTGATGGCTGAAAATGATATCTCATTGTTTTAATCTGCTGATGCAGGTTTGGGGGAACTCAAGGATTGCTTGAGAGGTAAAAACAGTCACATGCTCTTGCAGGCCGGTATTGTGGCTTCTTTTGCAACAACTTAATAGCTTTCTAAACCACTTATTTCTTTTTTGTTCCATTGAAATTCACTATAGCCAGAGATTTTATTTGATCATAGACTGTAAGCCTGAAAACTGTTCTCTTCAATTATGGCATCTGTATTCAGCCTCTTTTCTCTCCAATTCATGACAGTTATCTAAACACCATACAAAACAAAAAGCTTGAAGGTAACACCCTGCATGTGAAGCTTACCACTGGGCTGGATCCCATTATCTGGCAAGAACACAAAGAAAAGCTCTTGAGAAAGCCTTAAGGATACAGTCTTACCTCCTGCTATTTAGCTATAAAAGTAATTGGCTTTTTCAAAACTTGAAGATTGAATATCACTGGACTCTCACTTAATTTAAATTGCATGCTGCACTCAGAGAGCCTTCCATGTCTGCTTGCACACTGACCAGCACTGACAAGGAGTAGCTGATACATACCAGCATTCTTTTTCCAGGCTCAATAAGCTGGTGGTCTGCCTTCAAAGGTATTCCAGGTGACTGTTGTCCAAATACGCCCCAAGATCTAACAAGAATCAATGGCTATCCAGCATGCCATGCCTGCGAGCTTTTTGTCTACCACCTGACCTCTCAGTAATTCAAATATATTTCAGGTTTTAGGTATTCCTACTTCTGGGTATTAAATTTTGGACTAGTTATGGTATATGTTGCAAAGGCTGTAAAATAGACCCAAATAACATAATAGTGTCTTATACAGGATGAAGTTTATTTCCCTCTTACCTAATAGTAAGAGCAGTTTAGGGGTGCTACGGCAGCTTCACATGATGAGGGTCCCTCTTACTTTGTTGATCTACCTTCATCAACACACAGTCTCTATCTCTGGGTCTACCCTCCCCTCACCCTCCCATCATGCCTTCCCCTCTGCCAACAGAAGAAGGAGAATACAGGCAGAAGAAGGCATGCTTGTTCTTTTAAGGTTATGAACAAGTCAGTGGTCCAAAACACTCCTGCTCATATCCTATTGGAGCGAACTTAGTCATAGTCACACTGAGCTGTGTGGGAGTCAGGGAAATGAAGCCTTTAGCTGACAACTATGAGCCCAGCTAAAACTTTTATGGTACTATAGAAGAATGGTAGAACAGACACCTGGAGATAGCTAGCAGTCTCTGCACTGTCCATTTTTCTATTAGGTTTTTGTTTTCTGTTCGTTTTCTTGGTTTATTCTGATAGATTTCCTGTTCTGTCAATTCTTATTGATTTGTATAAATACCTTATCTATTGTAGAAATTAGTCTCTTACTGTTTGAGATATTACAAATATATTCTCCCAATCTAATATGTGTCTGTTAACTTTATTTCCTTCCACTGATGCTTACAAATGGATTACTTTTGCCTGATGTCCTTTCCCTCTTGTAGCAACTTGCTAAAACTTGCTAACAAGAACATAGATTCTAATTACTACTAATAGAATTATGGTCTCAATAGGTCATCTTCAGTTTTTAAAATTTTCTTATTTCTATTTAATCAATACATAATTTTTTCTTTAGGATTTATACATTTAATATGAGTACATTAGCTATTTGCCTACTTATGATATTAGTAATTTTCATCACTATAAGGTGTATTACACATGTATGTATATACAAACACATATATAACAATGACATATACAAACTTATACATATATTGGTACATTTATAAAATAAATGTTGGGACCAGGCATAGCGGCTGGCACCTATAATCCCAGCTACTTGGGAGGCTGAGGCGGGAGGACTGCTTGAGCCCAGGAGTTTGAGGCTGCAGTAAGCTAAAATTGTGTCACTGCACTCCAGCCCAAGCAAAAGAGTAAGACCTGTTTCCAGAAAATAATAAATAAATAAATAAATAAATAAAATAAAAGTTGAATGTAAATGCTATAAATCATATAAAAATGTAATTGTATTTTCTATAGCCAATCTCATCTGGCTTTCAATTCTCCATTCTTGATTGATAAGACAATAAAAAGCTTAAACTTGTTTATTCATTTTCTAGTGTAAAACAGTCTTTTTGAGCTAATATTATTTAAGTCACTTCAGGATTTAAGCCTCAGTGAATTCTAAATTCTTCCCCTCCTCCACTTTTTACTTCTTTTCTTGGGAAGTGAACCAAGTTTTTCGAAGTCTTACACTCAGCCTCTGGGAAAAGATATCTGATCTTTTACTGAGGTTTTCACTTTCCTGCCTTGTTTCAGGGTGTCCCTTGGTGTTACTGTTGAGCCAATCCTTACAGGTCCATTGGGGATTCTATTGGTAGCTGCCGCTGAATTTTGCCATCCTGACACGCACTGCCGTCTTCTATAATGTTCTGGCAACTTGTGGCCTCTCTGTCTAG